TTTGAAACGAAGCAAATCGGCGGTTTCTTATTTTTAATATTTTCTGAAATTAGTTCTTTTGAAAGGGAATAGAACAAAAAACGGCGTGCTTTGTTTATCTACTTAATTAGCGAGGGTTTTTCATTTTTAATTCTTCTTAAAACCGAAGTGGGCCCTAATCCACTGATTTTTGACCGTTAGATTGTTTATATTATTGTGAAAAAAGGAATATGAATTAAATTTCTATTTTTTTTCTAATTGGTAAAGAATCTCTAATTTTGTTAACAGATAAAGCTTCTATTAAAAAAAAATTGTAACTGCTGTCAAACAAAGAAAGAAAACAATTGTAACCGAATAACAATAAACATCTAAATTTTGGGTTACTACTAAAATGAGTGTAGGGATAACAAAAAAAAACATAAGTTCACATTACAAAATAATAGGTTTTTTTTTTTTTTGGTGGGAGACAAAATAATAGGTTTTGAATGAAGATTATGCGGTCTAAAATATAGTGAAATGGATAAGACAAACGAAATAACACATATTTATTTTAACATGTACACCAAAATTAAAGAAAAATTAACATAAATTTATTTTAACATTTATACCAAAAAAAAGAAAACGCCAAATTTTGTAATATGTAATTAATATTTTCTTGTAAAAGAATTATATATATTTCACGGTATCCACAATTCCATATTATTGAGATGTACATATTTCAATGCCCAGAACGCTTAATCAGAGTCAAAGTGATTTAATAGGCGGTCTAAACGTTTTACAAAAATACATAATATATTAGATATATATAGTCAAATATATAAAAAAACCATATTTTATAAATAATAAAATTTATATTGTATTTATATTTATCATTTTATAACAAAATATATAGAATATTACGATTTATATATAAGAAAATTTATATTATTTTATTATTATAATACCATAATATTTTAGATGGTAAAATCGGTAATTTTCATGGTCTATCCCCGATGCTTTTTAGAACACTGACATATTTTGAATGATATTGATGCTGTAAAAAACATAGCAATGTATATACATGAAAAATGAAATAACATCAATTTGATAGTAAAATAAACATTTTTCTTGTAAGACGATGCAGTACAAAACATAGCAATATAGATACATGCCAAATGCAAGAAGCACAACAATCTGAAGCTAAACCCAAAACAGTTCTAAGGCACGATCTCTCTCAACTACTACACCACGCCGTTCACTGTTTCGTCGACGCTTCATGGATCGCTTCTTCTCTGTATTGTGGAATTGGCTGGTGTTTTAAGGACTCAAGCATGAGGATCATAAGTCAAGCTTCGACATCACGGAGGCAGGTGCCTTCGGCTATAAGTGCAGAGGCTTTCACTATATAATCGCTGCTCTTAATGCAGCTCAACTTGCAGGTATCCGAAATTTTAATTGTTTATCGGATTCTCTTTCTCTTGTCACGTTGCTCAATTCGAACAACGCGATCAATGAGCTGATATCTCTTCTTCATAACATTCGATATCTTAGTGCAGATTTCGATTCTATCTCTTTTGTTTTTATTCCCCGTTCGACAAATGTTGTAGCAAACGGTTTAGCTAAATCCGGTCTTGTATCGATGAACACTAACTCNATTCATGGAGGTTAAGCTTAGAAAAGTTTCGGTTTGCTCAAAATAAAAAGATACATGCCAAATGAAATTCAAACTTTATAGTAAAATAAATCAACATTATTCTTGTAGAGGAATTATACGTACGTTGACCATCTACATTTTAAGTATTCACTAGATGTTTCAAAAACACTACGAATTTCTTTTAAAAAAATTTAAAGTTAAAAATTGCGGTGTATGAACTATACAATTATGAAATCTATGATTAAATTTATTAAAGAAATCCATAATTTTTTGGCTTACATAAGCGTTAATGTACTTATAAAAAAATAGTGATGGCTTAATGCGTGATGATATTGTGACGATACCGCTACGACTTTGTGACATATTTTGGTCACGATTTAGTATAAAAAAATGTCACAGATCTGTAACAAATACTTTTCTTCTCAAAATTTAGTCACAAGAAGTCAAAATTTCTGTTATTGTGACTAAATTACAATCATCAAATGGTTCTAGGTAAGTCGTTGGATTAGTTTAGCCAATCAATCAGTAGGAAACAAATTTAGATATGGACATATATACTTTTGTCTTCACCAAAAAAACAATAAGATGGACCCTCGCTAGTCCTTGTCTCCTTGATACTCTTTCGAGGCACTCGCTAGATATCTCGGAGACGTGAATGAGATGGACCCTTGAAAACTCTACCCTACACTTTAATTCGTAACTCCAAGTATTCCTAATCAATCCCTTTATTTTCCTTCACATACCTTCACGAGATAAGCACAAACCCCATCTTAGAAAAATCATTGTTGAACTATGCATTTGACCTGATAATGTCACATTCAAGTTCTGCAGCAAATAACTTCCCATGCCCAAAATGTTTTGTAAAACAATAGTATCAATTTTTCTTTTTGTCATATAATTAATAAGCACAACGATTAAACAAAGAGATAAACACGAAAATTAAGTCATATAATGACATATCTTTTGACGGGAAAGTGGATAAAGTTGGAATGAATTCACAACAAGCCCTAGAGATTTGAAATCGGTCCGACGTAATTACTTGGGGAGGAAGATATGTACGTGGTTAACTTTGATCAGATCAGTGCTCGGCTCAAGGAGATTAGCTATGGCCTTAGCAGCTGCGACATCGCTCTCCTTGCTCATAAAGTCTTTGCCGGTGTCTATGATGGACTCACCACGAGTCAACTCGACGAGTTGGCTGCTGACACTGCTGCTGCCATGTCTTGCGACCATCCTGATTACGCAACCGTCAGTATTCACATTGGTTTTTTGTTTTTCTTCTGATTTTTGAATTTTGAGAAATAATCTCTCTGTTTTTGTTGTTGGTCTCTTTTTTCAGCTTGCTGCTAGGATTGGTGTCTCAAAGCTTCAGAAGAACACTAAGAAATCATTTTCTGAGATGTGAGTGGAATTGCACTTTTGTTTGGTTTAAACATATAATGTTTCCTTTGAATTTACTTTGATCATGGATTTGTGCGGTATTTTCAGGGTTTATGACATGTCTAAGGCTTCACTAATAGCTGTGATGTATCTTTGATAGTTAGCAAGGTAACAGAGAAGCTCTGTTTTCTTGGTAAATGCCCTAGAGGGATGTATCTTGTGTATCACTTAACTGTGTTTTCCTTTTGGTTTCAATCCCAGAACGCTAATCGCCTGGACAGTGAAATCATCTATGACCGGGATTTTCAGTATGATTACTTTGGATTTAAAACTCTTGAGAGATTGTACCTCTTGAAAGTCCAAGGGAAAGTTGTTGAAAGGCCTCAACACATGCTTATGAGAGTTGTTGTTGGCATCCACAAGGACGATATCGATTCTGCAATCAAAACTTACCATTGGATGTCTCAGAGATGGTTCACTCACGCATCTCCTACTCTCTGTAACGCAGGAACTCCAAGGCCTCAAGTAAGTTGTAGTTTATGTACGGAATATACATTCTTAACTTGTTGATCTGCTATTGATGATATAATTGAATTGGCAGTTAAGCAGCTGCTTTCTTATCTGCATGAAAGATGATAACATGGAGGGCATATACGAAACCCTCAAAGAATGTGCTGTTGTAAGCAACTCTGGTGGTAGTATTGGTGTCTCGGTTCATAATGCACGTGCAACTGGAAGCTACATCAGTATTGTCCCTATGCTACGTGTATTCAACGATACCGCTCGTTATATTGATGAAGGAGGAGGCAAGAGGAGTGGTACATGTCAGCCTTACACTAGTGTTAGCGATAATCATTTGTGTAGTAAATGATCTCATGTATATTTTGTAATTGTTGAAGGAGCCTTTGCTGTATACCTGGAGCCATGGCATGCTGACATCTTTGAGTATCTGGAGCTCCGGAAGAAGCATGAAAAGGTGCCAATGCAAGAGGAGGAGAGGGATGTTTTATGCTCTACGGGTTCCCGATCTTTCTATGGAGAGAGTCAAGAGTTATGGGGAGTGGTCACTGTTTTGTCCTAATGAAGCTTTGGGGTTAGCAGATTGCTTGGGGGAGGAATTTGAGAGACTGTACACCAATTATGAAAGAGAGGTATGTATATGCTCCTGCTTCTTATGTAGCTTGATATGTATATGCTCATGCTTCTTATGTAGGTTGTTGTCTCTATGTTTGTTACATGGTCTTTAGGGAAAGGCCAAGGTGGTTATTGAGGCGCTGGAACTTTGGTTGAAATCTTGACATCCCAGCTAGAAACAGAAGGAACGCTATACATTTTTAAGGTACGTAAAAAACATTCATGATTTTGTAGCTACATGTAACCATAAAATTCTTACTTTGTAGCAAAATACATAGCTCTAACATTCTTCTTCTCACAATAGAACTTCCCATTGGTGTCTCATCACATCTAAACTTGCTGGCAGTCTAGGCTCAAAGAATCGTTTCTTTGATTTTGACATGTTAGCCGAGGTAAGATAGATACGAAATTGGAATCTTGTCTAAAAATTTATGTTTGTGGTAACC